CTTTGCATTTCCTGAGAAAACTTACCATAGTAATGTATATTTTTTTTACACCATCAGAAAGTAGATATTTCAACGAAGAAAAAGCCCACCGACGTTTTAAAAAAAGCAGATATTTTGACGTGAGAATTATCGATTGAAAATTAGGGTGCTTTTTCGATATTAAGTAAAAATAAGGTGAAAAAATAAATATTTCAAATCAAAACAATTACAGCATGTTTGGGACATAGATAGGTAAGTTTTCACCGAATTTCGTGAAAAAAAATTCTTTGTAAAAGAAAAATAAAAAACCAAAAACTTGGTTATTTGAATTTTTCACAGAAATTTTGAGGTTATGTGAAAAAAGTGTAAATACTAAAGTTGGAGATCTTTTTATTACCCACAACTTTGCCATTTAACTTTTTTCCATAAAACTTGTAGTTATTCCGGAAATCAAGGGAAACCGTTTTTTACTCTTAAAAACTCACCCCCTTCCCCTTCGCGACCTCAGATCGCCCGTAAATTATTTCCTTTTATAATATTTTTCCTATAATTTTTTTTGGTTTCAAAAATTATCGACCCTAGTCTAGTAAATATTAGTTTAACTGAAAAAAAAAACTCCAGCCCGTAGACCCTTGCCACCAAAAAATTTCAAAAAATTCACGCGATAAGCAGAGCTTATAAAAATTTTGTGTCAAAAGATCCTTGGAACTTTCATAGGTAATGTTCTTTTTTCACGAAGATACAATTCTTCAAAAAACACATGAAAATTTCTTGTTCTTTTAATTTTTTGGACAGGAAATTATATGATAAAAAAATATATACCGGGTGGCTGACAGCGAATGTCCTATTAGATTACTTCAGAACCTATCTCGATTTCAATTTTGAAAATTGGCACAGTAAGATTTTCGGGTGTGCTCTTTTTAAATATAATAATGTTCATATAATAACGCTTTCGGTTATAACGGAAGTTGCCACCAACTTCCTTATTTTAAATGGGACACCCTATACTTATATGTATTATTGCCTTTTCGGATTCTACGTGAAATTTGAGGGTCACTTTATTAAATATTTCTTATATCTAGGGGTTACAAAATTTGAGAAATTAATTTTTAAAGAAAAAGTTTGACAGATGCGGAGATATCAAGTAGGTAACTCTTTTCAGGAGCGTGATATCAACTGGATTTTTGGTACCTGTTAAGGGCATAGGTAACACTAAATTATGGCATACCAACTTCCTGCCGAACATAAATGGAACACCCTGTATTTTTTACTGGTATGTCGTATGCAGAATGAAATTTCCTTTCGAGCCGTATAGGCATCGTTAGGGTTGCCGTTGGTTGGGTTGGGGTTTAGAGATATTTGCAAATTTCTATTTTTTTGGACAGTTTTCCTTGCCAAATTGGCCATGACCAGAAATATTCCAAAAACAACCATTACAGACATAACAGTAATTTGACATATAACTTGATAAATGTCGAGTTATTTTAAATTGTTTTCGGATTGTTTTTGATCATGGCTAATTTGTAAACAGGTCCGATACGTGAAAAACGGTCCAACAAATAGAAAATTGCAAATATCTCTAAAACTAGTAACGGCAACCCTCTAACAGTATTTACACAGGGTTCATAGTTCAAAAGTAATAAGGAATTCCCTGACTTTTCCAGGTTTTCCCTGACATATAAAAAAAATCCAGGTCACTTGTAGTTAATTTTTACAAGCTAATTGGTGTTTATCCATTATACTTTTTCTCGACTGGACTCCATAATCTTTTTTATACCCAAAGAACATCTTATAAAGGTTTTAAAACCACAAATAGTCTTCTCTTTCAAGAACCCAAGGCTGGCTTTCGCAAAATTTCCAGTTGCAAACATCAAATTCCCTGACTTTCATGAATATTTTAAAAATTCCCGGATTATTATTCCCTGTTTTTAATGAAGAATAACGAATTCCCAGACTTTTCCCGGTATTTAATTAAAACTACGAGTATTATTAAATAAATTTACAGGTGTTTTACATAAAGCCCAGGTACATACATATCTACATAGACCGGAGTGGTGCTTTATAATATGGAGATTTTGCAAAATTTAATCAACAGAAAATATTAGTTCTTATTAATATTTGCCTTTTTGAGATTAACTGTGGATATGGAGCCGTACTATATCTTAACGAAACGCGTGCACTGACGCACGTGCATCTACAAAAACAACACGGTGGAATGTGTGCGACAATAGCGAACGAAATAATCTATCTTTGTCATAGACATACGAGCTGTCCAGTGTCCACGACTTCGGTTCTTCGGTACCATGAGTGCGACAAAGCGAACGTAATATAAATTTCGAAAGCAACTTTTTATTGTTTTATATGTATAACAGATCGAAGGGTACTCAAAAAAATAGTTCTAGTGTTATTAAATCATTAAAATTGACGATTAAAAAATTAAAACTGATAACTTTTTTATTAAAAATAAAAAAAAAGATATCTATTTTTCTGAAAAGATAGTTTATATAGGTATTTTAGAGTAGATTGAAAAGAAAAAAGGAAAATTAATTCCATCATTTTGTTGCTGGTTATGACATTAAAATTTCTGAAATCATCCCTTAACTTGTAGCCCCTCTAACTCTTGTTAATTTTAATAGTCAAAGAAAAAAGTCAATAGTCCATTTTTATGTAGAATTTTATGCTCTACTTTTATAAGAAACTTTTTTTGTACTTCTTACTCTCTTCGAGTTACCTTGAAAAAATAAAATACTATTTAATTTTTTTCACTCCTCGCCAGATTGTCGCCACTTGTCGAGTCTAATGTATAGTTATTTATACTCGTAGTTAATGTGATGATAATTAATTATTAATATATATTTTCTTCGCATTTAATTTTAGTCAAAAAATATATAATACTTAAGTAGATATCTATTTATGTCTTATTTATTATTCTTTTTGGTGGAATGAAAGAGCGGCATTGCCGAATTCCTGCCTTTCGTGTTTTGTGCACAATAAAGATATATTTATTTATTTTATTTATTTATACCTATGTATCTATTCGAATAGTATGGGCCTTTAAATTTTTTATATAATTAGTTTGAGGTATACTATAACAAAATGTGACAGTAATTTTTTTTTCAACCTCCGGCTAGGGGTAAAAAAAGATAAAATAAAGGGGTTCTTCAGTATAACTCAAAAGGGGTAAGAGCTAGAAAAAAGTATTTTTTGAAGTTGTAAAGCATAAAATTCTACATAAAAATGGTCTATTAACTTGTTATCGTACTATCAAAATGGACAGAGTTTTACGGAGACTAGAAATTAAGGGACGATTTCAGAAATTTAAAAAAATCATAAGCAGGAAACTGGATGAATGTTATGTTTTTTTTTTTAAATTAAAATGTAAACTTTCTTTTCAAAGAAATAGATATATTTTTTAATTTTTAATAAAAAAGTTATAACAATTTCAATTTTTAATCCTTAATTCTAATAATTTTAACAAGACTAATACACTTTCTTAAAACAAAACACATTTTTTTTTAATTCTTCATATTTATTCTTTGTGTTGTCTATGTCATTTCATCGAAACATATTAATAACGATACATTGTAATTATTATACTACATTCTTTTTATTACAAAATAACGGAATCCATATCGATCTGTTGACTGTTTACAACTATTTTAGATAAATCCATGTTGAAAGTTCAAAATTTCCAGTTGAAATGAATACAATTAGTATATTAATTAGGTTCATAAGTTGGATTTTCAATATGTATAATACATTAATTACTGCAGAAAATTAAAGGATAAAAAAATTTAATTTTTTTTGTTTTTTTGTGGAGATCTATCTTTGTGTGACAAATAAGTAATTGTATCGAGATAAAAATAATAGGATTTTAAAGTTCAACATTTCTGGTTTGAAGATCTTTTGCACAAAAAAAAAATTATCCTCCACATTAATTTCTAAAAAAAGTATAAAAAACTACTTTTTGCGGTTTTACAGGAAATCGACCGCTACTCTAGAAATACGGGTGAAAAGACTAATGTTGAAAGTTTGTTTTTCAACAAAATGTATCCCACATTAATCTGAAAAATGCACAAAAAAATGACTACGATTTTTCAGCAAAAATACCGCTACTTTACACATATTTTTGGAAATTCTAATGTTGCCAGCTTATTTTACATCAAAATCTCATCAAAAGCTTTATAAATTTTCAAATACATTCTTCGAGCCGTTTTTCCGGACCGAACGATTAGATTTATAAAACACGGAAAGGAACTATTAATTAATGTTCAATGAAAGGAATAAAATGTTGTAAAACGTTAATGATTAAGTCCGGAAGAACGCACAGTGGGGCAGAATCCCAAAAAGCTGGCCAAAAGTCAAAATCTTTAAAAATCGATCTGAAATTTGTTATTCGGGGTTTTTTGGGGTTGCTGATAATGAATTTGGAGTCAGAATTACAAAATCCAATGTAGAGGATTTATTTTGTAAATAGGGACTTTCCGAGTAGATTAAGAATTAAAATATTATGAAATACGAAATGTCACATTTATCAAGCATGAAGAAGATGTAAAAATGACAAATGATATATTTGACTATTCATATATTTCGTTAAATAGGTGTCGGGAGTAATTTATTTGAATACCGTGCCAAAGTTGTAATATAAAATTCCAGTTTTTCCATAAAAGAAAAGAATCATCATCAGATGAAAAATCTTCATTTGTAGCATCCGTCGAATCTTCTAAAGTTGACACAATTTCGTCCTTATCTGCAATCTTCCCATGTCTTGCGTCGTCCAGAGAAGACGAAATTCATTTTACTCTACATTTTATAAAAAATTATACTAAAAGTTGGTAGGCACTTATAGGCAGTTGATTTTTTTTTAGTTTACAGATAATAGTTTTATCTTTTTTGTCCAATAAGTTAAATGATAGAATTCTGCAGAATTATTAAACTTTTTTCTTCAAAACTAAATTCTTATTTCATTTTATAACGTAAAATTCACGTAAGTTTGGTAGCCAATTTCTATTTTTTATAAAAATAACGAGTATTTTAACCTACATATTCATAATCTATATACATTTATGAGTTGATTCCATTTTGTTAGAGATAAATCGGTGAACTCTACGAAATTTTATAACCATTTAAACACAACTATTACTTCTGTTCCTATGCGCGAGCCAGGTTTTCCTCGAGCAGCGGTCGCCTTTGTGATTTAAGAAGCAGGTATAGGGAATTTGACCCTAATAGTAATGGATTCTGAGACTTGGGATATTACTCTAACCAATCCAACAGTAAAAATTGCCGAATTAGAAACTTTATTTTTTGACTTTTGGCCAGCTTTTTGGGATTCTGCCCCACTGTGGAACGGTTCGAAGAATGAATCCGAAAACTTTTAGAGGGCTTTTGGGGGCACATTTTACTGTGAAAATAGCTAGCAACAATAGTTTTTCCACCTATATTTGTAAAGTAGAGGAATTTTTACTGAAAAATCGTAGTAATTTTTTTGTAGTTTTTCAAACCATGTGGAGTAAGTACCTTCATTTTGCTGTCTAATTATTTCAGAACTTACTTCGATTTAAATTTTGAAAATTAGCACAGTAAGGTTTTTGGGTGTGCTCTTTTCAAATATAATAACTTTGTTCCTATAACGCTTCCGGTTATACCGGAAGTTTATACCAACTTCCTTATTTTAAACGGGACGCTCTATCTATTATTGCCTTTTCGGATTCTTCGTGAAATTTGAGGGTCACTTTATTAAGTAAAATTTGAGATGTTAATTTTTTGAGGAGAAATTTGCCAGATGCGAGGCTCCGTGGAGATGCAGAATGAAATTTCCCTCCGAGCCGTATAAACATTGTCAGGGTTGCCGTTACTACTTTTAGAGATATTTGTAATTTTCAATTTTTTGGACAGTTTTTTTTGTCAACTGGGTCAATATTGGTGGAAAGACAAATAGTTGGCAGCTGCTTTTACATCAGAAAGTATCCTCAAAAGCCTTATAAATTTTCAAACCGATTCTTCGAATCGTTTTTTCGGACCGAACGATTAATTTTATAAAACGAAAGGAAAAATTTTTTGTTGTGGAATAGTAAAAAAAGGGTGAAAGAAATAAAACGTTCCTTTCATTGTAAAACGTTAATGATTCAGTCCGGAAAAACAGTTCGAAGAATCAATTCGAAAATGTACAAGGGGCACATTTTGCCGTAAGAAAAAGTTAGCAACAGCAGTTTTTCCACATATACTTGTAAAGTAGGTATTTTTACTGAAAAATCGTAGTCATCTTTTTGCAATTTTTTCAAACCATGTGGAGTACATTTAGCCGTAAAAGAAAACTGGCAACATCAGTCTTTTCAGTAATATTTGTAAAGCAGCGGCAGATTTCTGGAGAAACCGTGGTAATTTTTAAAAAATTAATAACTCCAATTTTATAACTCCTAGGTACAGGGAATAGGTATTTAATAAAGTGACCCTCAAATTTCACGTAGAATCCGAAAAGGCAATAACACCATATAGGAAGCGTTATAGGAACAAAATTATTATATTTGAGAAGAGCACATCCAAAAACCTTAGTATGTACGTTGGAGAAAATGCAATCGCTGATTTGTTAAATAAATCTCTGGTAAAGTTACACCAATCACCAGCCGGTAAAAGCTAATATTATGTTTTAACGTAATCTCGATCTTGCTGTTTCAATAAGTTTCATTGGCAACGTGAAGAAAATAAAATTACTGTTCCAAAGTTACTGGCCTCGGGGCTTATAATCTATTTATGAAATCCCCGTTTATATTTCAAAATACATATAGAGGTTGTCCGGATAAAACATGAAGGGTGTTTCGTATTTAATGTTGTTAATAAAACTGTACTACCCCAAACGCGTTGCCTTGGAAATATATTTCATCGGTAGTTTCCTTGGGTTAAGGGAAACCGATTTAGACCAATTAACCCTGTGTTAGTACGATTTAGCTATTTTAAGAAACATTTTTGATTTAATTTTAATTTTTAATAATTTGAATATATTTCAATAAATATTTTCGGGTAGTCGTTTATAAATATTAACTTATTTCGCGTTTGAAATAGGTAGATTATTAAAAATGTCTTACACATCGTTGTTTTTTATTTTATTGTCGGAGTTTTTGGAAGAACACAATTAAATTTTGGCATTTTTAAAAATTGGCAGATATACATTAAAATCGAATTGGGGTAAATCAGTCTAAATATTAAAAAAAAATAAAAAAATTCGTTGCAAAGTAAAAGTAAAGGTCAATTATATTAGCATATATTATTATCTCTAAATGCCCCACAGACTGTCAAAAAAAACTTTAAATTGTTCTTTGGGACTACTAATTTTTAAGTAAAAATATAAATTCAAATTCATAGTGGCTTATCTCAAAAAAAGAAAAAAAATATTGAAATGTCTAGCAACGACACAGTTATCTAAAATATCTGTTTTAAAACATGTTTATTTTTTGTCTTGACAAAATGTTATTGGTCTAAATGAGTTTATTTTCATCCAAGGAAGCTATCCTTGAAGAAGGTACGTCTCATTCACTTCCGGATATGCTGTATATTTTTCTGAGGCAGTCTTTCTTTCAGGATGCAATTATTAAATAACAGTAAAAACAAACATATATTTCATGTTTTGTGGATTTTAATTTTCTTTTTACAAAATATTGTTAAAAAACTATCGGTATAAATGGGTAGTCGCATTAATCCCTCTGTATATTTGAGGATATTTAAGAAAATCTCAATTGTAATATTTTTTTTCCAGGTTTCCTTAAGTACTACACCAGATACCTATACGGATTACGAACAAATCCCCGGGATGACGCTCTAATGTGACGATAGCAAGGAGGATCGTGAGGCCGCTGAAAAATCTAAGGTTAGTGTTGAAATTTTTGATTTATATATCATCCATTTGATTGATTAAATATAAACGTAATAAATTTATCCAAAAAGGCCCATTTCGCAGTGACGGGATTTTTTATAACTATTGGTCCTAATTTTCCAATTCTTTTGAATTTTTTGTCTTCGAAGTCTTCGTTGTGAAGATACAAGGTGTTGAAGTTTAAATAGTCTAAATATATTTTAAATAAACAAATACGTATATTCAAACGGGTAGATTTGTCTTATAAGCCTCGCGCAATATTGCACATTACTGGTACCGTCAACGTCAAATCAAAATCTCTAAATCATAACGTCTACGTTCGAGATAACGCAATCGCTGATTTGTTGGATAAATCTCAGGTTACACTCAAAGTTACACCAATCACCAGCCGCTAAAACCTAATTACTATTCCAGACGAAGTTACTGGTCACGGGGTTTATAATCATTCATGATCGAAGGTCTTGTTTGTAATTTCACAATACATATAGAGGTTGTCCCGATAAAACATGCAGGGTGTTCGTATTTAATTTTGTTAATAAAACTGTACCGCCCCAAACGTTACCTTGGAAATACATATGTTTCATTGGTAGTTTCCTTGGGTTTTAGACCAATTAACCTTAGTACGATTTAGCTTTTTTAAAAAGTTGTCGGCTGTAACATTTTTGATTTAATTTTAATTTTTAATAAGTTAAATATATTTCAATGATTATTTTCGGAGAGTCGATTGTAAATATTAAGTTATTTCGCGTTTGAAATAGGTAAATTTATTGAAAATGTCTTGCATTGCAATCGTTGTTTTTTATTTTACTGTCGTAGTTTTTGGAAGAACACAATTAAATTTTACTTTTATTTTGATAAATTTATTACAAAATGAAATATTTTTTATTATTCATGGTCTGAAAAATTAGCAGGTATACATTGAAATACACGGACGGAAGTAGATCTGTCTAAATCTTGAAAACAAAAAAAAATTCGTTGCAAAGTAAAAAAGGTAAAAGTAAAGGTGTTAGGGGATTTTTGTCGAAATCATAAAAATGGATTTATCGGTTTTTATATGAAGTAGTCGTCAGCTCTTCATGTATCCAGTGCGACGTTGTGTTTTCTATCTCTTTTGGTCCCGAAGTAGTGGCGTCACCATCAGTGTCGTCGTCCTAGAAATTGATACCTAAAAAAAGAACAAAAATTAGAAAACGGTGATTAGTAAATAAATCTCTAATAATAAATACGTTATTCTTAAGTAATAAAAATAGTATAATATAGTATAGTATAGTATAGTATAGTATAGTATAGTATAGTATAGTAATAAAAAAATGCGAAATACAAAAGTTGCACGATTTTTTATGAAGTTCTCGAAAATGATAGTAGAAAAACAAATCAAGTCCAAACAAAATGGCCGCGAATGTTATTTTGTTATTTTAAAAGGAACACCTTGTTTATTTTTTCATATTTGGATAGAAGGTTCCCTATCGAGCATAGTCATGTTATAAGATTTGTTGGGTCCATCTCCAACAATAAGCAAGATACTATTAAAAACCAAAAGGTTTTTTATTAAGAAAATAAGACGTCTTTTAATCGTTAGATCTCTCGGGCATTTCTTCTTTTTTTCCAATTGCGTAAGGATTTACATATTTCGTTGTAATATATTTTGACATTGGACATTGATACAATCCAAAATCCATATAAGTATTTTAATTTGTAATTATTGTACGTTCTTTTTGTTACAAAATAACGTAACCCATATCGATTTGTTGACTGTTTGCAACTATTTAATATACTAATAAAATTAGTATATTAATTAGAATCATGACTTGGATTGACAGTGTAGGTACATTATTTACTGCAAAAAATTAGAGGAATAATTTTTTTTTTTTTGAGCTGTATTTATCTTTGTGTGAAAGATACTAAGTATTGGTATCGAGTTAAAAATAAGTGGATTTTAATGTTCAACATATCTGGCTTCAAGCTCATTTTTACAACAAAATGTACCTGACATTAGTCTGAAAAATGCACTGACACTGAAAAATTGCTACGATATTTTAGTAAAAATACCACTACTTTAGAAATATTGGTGGAAATACTAATATTGCCAGCTCTTTTTACATCAAAATGTACCCTGGCAAGCATCGTCAATTTTCAAATTGGTTCTTCAAACCATTTTTCCGGACCGAATGTTTAGTTTTATAAAACAAGGAAAGCAACATTTTTTTTATTTGGAATTGTTTTAAAAAAGGAGTAGATAATTTTTTTTCGTTTTGAGAACCACTAAATAATGTTTAATAACAGGAATAAAGTCTTGTTCCTTTCATTGCTAAACGTTAATGATTCATTCCGGAAAAATGGTTCGAAGAATCAATTCGAAAATATACAGGGCACGGTTATATCTCAAAAAGTAATTGTACTATCAGAGTAATTTTTTTTTTAATTAAATCAGACAGAATAGCGCGTTTAACAGTACTAATGGATTATATAAAACTCGCTTTTTCATTTCGCAAAAAATCAGGAAACTTGATATTTAAATTTTGTGTAATACAATTTTACCAATCGATGAACTTTTTTATTTATGATTTTTTTTATATACATGCAGCGAAGAAAATGAAGCCCAAACACTACATAAATTTTTGAAATAATTGTTTTTATTCTAAAGCTTATAGTTTGGCAACAAGCGATTGTTTCATAGCGCGCTAAACTGATGCATGGGTAGGCTTGCCAGATCTCCGGGTTTGGGCTCCGGGTTAACATGTCATTTCTCCGGGTTAACGCCCTACCCCTGAACTCCATTTCCTCGGGCCACATATTTCCTTTTTTTTTAAATATCACCGAGTAACAATGTTAATACATTTTGCTAACATTTTAAAAGTAAATCAATTTGTTAAAATTTCAACAATTTTAAATAAACATTAAACTATTCAATTAAAGCCAAACCAAATATCAAAATTGAAATTAATTAAAATTTATTCATGAACGTTCGTGGATTTTTCTTTCTTAAAACCGTTTGAAAAATAACATCCTTCTTCTATGTAAAAGCAATTGAAATTTTCTAAAAATTTCACATTATAATTCGATTTTCTGACTATCTCTTCAACTATAAAACTGATTTCAAAATGTTCCATTTCAAACTACAAAAATAAAAACATATTTATTTTCTTCTCCCTAACCGCCCCCATTTCATAATTTCACCATAAATATTTACAATTTTTATTTTTTTCTATTACTAATTTAACCCTAAATAACTTTTCCTTCTCCTGCCTATCCAATTTCATTATATTTTTCAAATCCAAAACCACTTTCATATCAACTTACAAATCCATCATAAATTATACAATCATTAATATTTACAAGTATCAAACATATAATATTTTCCAAACACAAAATTGTAAATTTAATTTATCTTATCAAACACAAATACCCAATTTTTTCCCTTCATCTTAAATATCCGCCAAAAATGTACAACTCTCAACAAATTTTATAAAACATATGGTAAAAATTCCCTAATCAAACACCGCCACACACCTCTAAACATAAAAATAATAAATTTGTATATACAGGATGTAACATTCACGTTGGAAATAAATTAAAAGATACATTTTTTGTTTTAAAATTTAAGTTTTTGTCATAGAAATTTTTGCTCTACAGGTTTTCTTTTCCAAACTACAGGACGCTAAATAATTTCAAAAAATTTTGTATAATTTTCATCATTAATAATTTTCAATGCCTCTTACCACTTTCGATGGCTGACTCACAGCTTCCTTCGTAATGTTTTTATTACTTTTATTTTGCTATATTTACAGTGGGAAATATGCTATTTATTAAAGTTTTGTTTTATGAAAAAATTACAAGAGCTACAAATAAAACGTAAGAGAGTAATTTTGTTTAAAATTAAAAGTGGATTATAAAA